AATCATCTTATAAGTTCAGGGGAATTGCTTCTTGTAAAATAAAAATAAAATATGAAACTGTAGCATTTATTGATTTGAAATATGATTTACTGTGTAAATATTTTTTTTTTTAGTACAAAGAAGAAGGCCAAAGACTGTGTAAATAATTAGATCAAACATGTCACGGTGTGTCGAAAGTATCAATCGCTATATTTTTGTAACATGATGTGAAATTTGTTGAGAGACTCTTCTTACCTTACAATTAAACTATACTTTTTAATTGATATGATACGCCAACTTAGTCTTATAGTTAGTCTGTCTCACATAAGATTATGCTATTTTAATGATTTGTTTTTAAATAATCCCAGAAAATTAAATTAATTGAGTATGCACATAACAACCTTTATCGATAAAAAATATTTGTGTCAATTGATCAAATCATTAGATGAGTCGATTCGATGATATTCTATAAATACAAATACATACTTATAATTATAAATACATTTAAAAATAGTCACTACAAGAAAAACTGCATTTGGCGACGCTTATTGGCGAGTTGTGTTGCTAAATTTGATGTCAGAAAAAAATAAACGTCAGTAAACAAAAAAATAAACATCGCCAAATGCAGTTTTTCTTGTAGTGAGTAATTAATATGAAGTTATTGTTTTCATGTCCATGTCTTCTTTATGTTGAAGTGACCTAATGTGTCACTCAAAAGTAGTCACCTACAACTATCAAATTAATTTTTCCATGAAGGGACATTTTTTCATTTTAATTTCTAATAAATTGACATTAATTTTCAGGAGAAATTTAATTTACATACATACATTCCTCCAAATTTTTTAATTGGCTTAGCCTCAACCTCAATATGATTAGTCATGCATGAAATAACATTTTGAGCCATGAGTTATATGACTTTCTCACCTTTTTCAAATAAATAATTTGGCATTAGTTTGACCCATGAAGATCAGAATAATATTATTAATAGATTTCTTTTCTATTATTTATTTCCATTGTTTGTGGTGTTGTAATTGTTAATATATTTAACAGTGAATGTCCAATTTCAATTTCATGTTCCACATTTGTTTGTGGTGTTTGTGGTGTTGGGACCTATTTCATTGTTTTTTCATAATAACTAGTACAACTCCAGTGTATTACACGGGTGGTTGCTAATTTTTTTTCTTAAAATCTAAAATTAATGAGAAAAAATAGTTAAAAAATTAATTACCTTTTATAAAAATATATATTATTATATATTTAGTATGACACTTTTTATTTGTGCGACTTACCTGTGTTATATTATAATAATTTTATTAACTTGCAACATATAACTACAATAAACATAAATATATCAATTGAAAAATATTTTTATTTTTCTAATGAATTTTAATAAATATAATTATTTTTAATTATTATAAATATAAATATAATTTATTTATTTCAATATATACAATATGGATGTCAAATCGAAGATAATCAAAAGATGATTAATTTGATATATTATATATGTAAAAACGATAAGAAATACAAAAGTTATCAACTTTTAAAATACATTTGCAATTCAATAGCTAATTGAAGGACAAATCAGAAGTCAGAGATATATTAGTCACTTAGTGTCTCACTATGTAAAATTACAAAGAATTAAAGGGTTATATTAGTATAAGTTCTATTAAAATACCTAAGTTAGCTAAATAATATTTATGGAATGTCCAAACCTAGATTATTAATTATTATTATATCAATATTATTGTTCCAAACCTAATTACGAAGCATGATTCTTCGCCAAGTAGGATTCCGAATCATCAGAAGCAGCCACGTAGGCTCAACGCATTCGTCAATTATATATAGAGAGGATATTGGTATTAGACATAAACAACTTTACACATATATTCATTAACTCAACACACATGTTCTACATTGGTATTAGTACTAGTATATATATATTTTTAAACACAATACTTCAAAGTTAAATTTTCATCCACAATGAGATTCCAAAGCATTATAAATGTACTTGTGGCTAAGCATATGCCAACAATTAACTTATGCATATGTCCAATAATTTAATTTAGCACTTATGAGTGTGTCCAATAATTTGTAAATGAATGCTTATGAATGTTAAGATATGTTACATTAACACCTACTCGCATTTAGGACAAAGATATTATAGGACTCATGAAAAGAAACAATTAATATTGTCTTCAATTTTTGTTACATTTTACATTAACCTCAATCTGTATTTGTAAAATTAATAAATCTGCATAAAATAGTTATGCGTACAAAATTTGTTTTTAATGGTAAAAACTTATAAAAAAATAATAAGAAATACATTCATAATTCTCGATATCATGTCATTATTTATTTTTTATATAATTTATTTAGACTTATGATATTTTAGATACTTTTATATAATATTTTATCATGTCATATTATATCTATATACATATACATATATATACATATTAAATTTAAATATTTTTAAACATGTTTTCTTTACACATTTGAAGTTCAACTTTGTATTGAACTTGTGGGTCTCTATTTTGCTAATTTTATGCAATGCTGGTGAGTGATGAGTTTTTTACCATGTATAAGTGCTATTAAAGCACCTCACAAATCTGCCCTTTTTTTTTGTTGGAACTCTCGGTATAAAAACACCGATGCTAAAGTTTCGCTAAACTAAAATAAAATTTATGTACGGCTACACACTAGATTAGTATCATTCATGTTTTCATACTCGTTCGATGTTTGTGCTCTATTATACAAAAATAGATCACATTTCCTTTAAGCTTTCAGTTACGTCCTAAATTCTACAAAAGCA